AAAAAAAAAATCCCAGTTTAACACAAACTTTCAAACAGTAGAAGAAAATGGACTTGTCTCAGCACAACCCCAAAATCAAAATCAGACAAAAATATTTTTTTTAAAAACGTTACACATTCATCTTATTCATGAAAAAAAAGAAAAAAGAAAATAGCAATGTAATGAGAAGACAGAAAATTAAAAATATTAATGTCTAGGAAACTTTTGTGAATTAAAGACTAAAGAAACATGCAAACTAAATGTCAGCTATGATTCTCAATTGGGTTATGGATGAGGAAAATCAAACATCGTAAAGTTAATTTGAGGAACTTGGAAAATATGAATATGAATTGCATATTAAATAAAGTACTAAGTAAGAGTTAAATTTTCTGAACGAGATCACTATATTGTATTTATACAGGAGGATATCCTGCTTAAGAGATAAGAGGTTCATACATTTAATAATGAAGATACAGCAAATATGGGAAAATGTTAAAAGTTATTGAATTAAAGAGAAATGTATGTGAATATTCCATGTACAACTTTTGCAACTTTACCACAAGTTTGCACTTTTTCAAATAAAATGTTTGAAAAATTACAATAATTTTCACATAATGTGTAATAAAAAAGGACAAATGTTAAAAAAAAATTTTTTTTTTTTTTAGGCAGAATCCTGCTCTGTCACCCAGGCTGGAGTACAGTGGCCTGATTCCCCCTCAATATAACCTCCACCTCCTGGGTTCAGGTGATTCTCATGCCTCAGCCTCCTGAGTAGCTAGGATTACAGGTTTATACCGCAAGACTCAGCTAGTTTTTGCATTTTTAGTAGAAACAGGGTTTCCCCATGTTGGCCAGGCTGGTCTTAAACTCCTGACCTCAAGTGATCTGCCAACCTTGGCCTCCCAAAGTTCTGGGATTATCATACCCGGAACAATGTCACTCAATGAGCATCATTTTTCTTTACAGTTGGATAGCTAAACAAATGAAACAGGCAAACAGCGCTTTCTTTGTAGCGCTTCCATTCTTTCTCCTTATTTCTGAGCTTCCTTTGTTCTTTGGGTGAGGGTAGGGAATGGTAGTAAGTATTGGATTTGATATTTTGTAGTCTCTTTCTCCACTACATGCAATTATTTCGGATGCATGAATTTGTTTGCTTTGAATAGATGTACCTTGGCTAATTTCTTCCACCTAGAGCTTTATAAAAACATTATAATAAAAACAGTCGCCAACAACACTTATGCATAGTTTCTAACAGAAAATGGCTCTATTTGTTCTGTCTCTTGTATTATTACAGACCTAAAGCAAGACACCAATGAACTATTTATTACTTTCAAAACATTCTAAATTTTGAAGTTGCTTTGGCTTTTCTTTCTGAGATTAAGAATAAAATATCTATTTTGGATTTTTTCTTAAAGGTAGTCCTTAAATTGTCTTTGTTTGCAGGACGTGTAGGCTCTACCTTGTCTGTCTAAATCTAAAAAGAGTAATTTAGCATTATTAAGGGCCGTGTATTGCCCCCAACAGAAAATAAAATATAAAATCTTAATTTTAAAATAGTAAGGTTTTTTGTATACTTTTAGATATATGCCAATTTAACAGACTCAAAATTAAAGTACATGAGAATTTTTAAAAAGTAGCATTAACAGAAAATAATTGAATAACACACATTTATATTTCTTTATAACTGGTAATGGGTCGGAAAGAATATACTTCTCTAGACACTGTATATTGATTCTTAATGTTGCTTACGCTCTAATTTCAAATTCAGTCAGATAAAAGGTTAGTTGCTCTGTTTTTCTATGCATGTTTTTTAATTTAATCATTTGCATTTATTAACACTAATAGGTAGATGCTACCTGTTTAGAAGTAGTGGATAATTATCCAGAACTGTCTAGATTTTCACTGGGTTTGGTTTTGTCATTTAATTACCTAACTTTATGTGTGTAGGTATTCGGGTGGTGTGGAGAGGAAAGAAAATTTAAAATCTACCTGTTTAAAATATTTTTATTATTATTATTATTTTTTTTTTTTTTTTGAGACAGAGTTTCGCTCTTGTTACCCAGGCTGTAGTGCAATGGCGTGATCTTGGCTCACCGCAACCTCCGCCTCCTGGGTTCAGGCAATTCTCCTGCCTCAGCCTCCTGAGTAGCTGGGATTACAGGCACGCGCCACCATGCCCAGCTAATTTTTTGTATTTTTAGTAGAGACGCGGTTTCACCATGTTGACAATGATGGTCTCAATCTCTTGACCTCATGATCCACCTGCCTCGGCCTCCCAAAGTGCTGGAATTACAGGCTTGAGCCACCGCGCTCGGCCTTTTTCTTATTATTTTTATACAAGTCCCTCGCAATGAAAATCTGCCTCTGTCAAACACATTTGTTAGTCAGAACAATTTTAATAGTCAGAAGAAATTAGAAAGAAGAAAAGTGGGCATTTCTATATTTGTTTTTAATGAGCTAGCTTAGAAAGTTAAGAAACTTGAGGTTGCAAAAGAGAAGCAAGGTATAACTGTGAAGAGGATACTGGGGTTGATTTCAAATAAGGGAGATGAGGGAAAATGGAAGATTTCTGAACTCAACAAGAAAATGATATTTAAATTTACCAAAATCAGTAATAAGGTAGAAGTGAGAATGAAGTACTTTCAAAGCTAAAGAGAAAAGGAGAAAGGTGTTTAAAAGTTCATTTTAAAGTAATATAGAGATGAGGAGTTACTGGTTTGTGTGAGAAAGAGCAAATAATTTTTTTTAATATTATAGAAGATAGGGACAAATTTGAGGAAATAAAATTAAGAAGAAGCTTTCTTTCATTTTATTATTTGTTAATCACCAAGACAATGGGGAAAATATATTCAGAACATGTCAGTCCCTCCCATCACAGGCCCAGAAGCCTAGGAGAAAAAAAAAGTTTTGTGGGCTGGGACCAGGATACCCCTGCTATGTGCAGCCTAGGGTCTTGGTGTCCTGTGTCCCAGTTGTTTCAACCATGGCTAAAAGGGGCCAAGGCACAGCTCAGGTCACGGCTTCAGAGGGTGCAATTCAAAAATCCTTGGCAGCTTCTACGTGTTGAGCCTGAGGTGCACAGATGTCAAGAATTGAGATTTGGGAATCTCTGCCTAGATTTCAGAGAATGTATGGAAACGTCTGGATGTCCAGGAAGAAGTTTGCTGCAGGGGCAGGGCCATCATGGAGAACTTCTGCTACAGCATTGCAGAAGGAAAATGTGGGGTTGGAGCCCCCACACAGAGTCCCCACTGGGACATTCCCTAGTGGAGTTGTAAGAAGAGGGCCACTGTCCTCCAGACCCCAAAATGTTACATCTACCAACAGCTTGCACCATGCACCTGGAAAAGCCACAGGCACTCAATGCCAGCCTATGAAAGCAGCCAGGAGGGAGTTACCCAAGGCCATGGGAGCCCACCTCTGGCATCAGCATGACCTAGATGTGAAACATGGAGTAGAAGGGGATCATTTTGGAACTTTAAGGTTTAATGCCTGCCCTATTGGATTTTAGATTTGCATGGGCCTGGTAGTCCTTTGATTTTGCCAATTTCTCTCATTTGGAAATGGGTGTATTTACCTAATACCTGTACCTCCTTGTACTTAGGGAGTAACTAGCTTGCTTTTGATTTTACACACTCCTAGACAGAAAGGATTTGTCTTGTCTCAGATAAGCCTTTGGACTGTGAAATTTTGAGTTAATGCTGAAATGAATTAAGACTTGAAGCACTTTTGGGAAGGCATGATTCGTTTTGAACAGTGTGAGGACATGAGCTCTGGCAGTGGGTAGGGGCAGAATGAAATGGTTTGGCTGTGTCCCCACCCAAATCTCATCTTTAATTATAGCTCCCATAATTCCCATGTGCTGTGGGAGAGAACTAGTGGGAGTTAATTGAATTATGGGGGCAGGTCTTTCCCATGCTGTTCTCATGATAATGAAAAAGTCTCATGAGATCTGATAGTTTAATGAAAGGAAGTTCCCTTACACAAACCCTCTTGCCTGCCACCATGTTAGATGTAACTTTGCTCCTCTTTCACCTTCCACTGTGATTGTGCAGCCTTCCCAGCTATGTGGAACTGTGAGTCAATTAAACTTCTTTAGAAATTATCCAATCTACAGTATGTCTTTATCAGCAGTGTGAGAATAGACTGATATATAAATTTAACCTCAAAGAAGAGCTCTTTAATGGAGAAATTTATATATCATGAAATTAATCCTATTCCTGAAATCTTTACTGTAATGAATGGGGACCTCTAGCCAGGTTCTTTACTTACATCACTTGGAATTATTTTGCCTCCATATAAGACTAGTTTGTACTTATAGTGTTGAATTTACAAGTTTTCAAATATATGTAACTATATTAATGATTAATGGTTAGATGCTTATAAAATGGTGACTCTAACAAGCTCCATTAAGTAGAGATACATGCAATCACTGTGTTCCATCAAGAGATGGTGCCATTTATGCACAATAATGCACATTCTTCAGTTTATTATTTGATATAATAAATTTTAACAAGTTTCCAAAAGTGTTTATATAAAAAATAATTCGCCTGCATGTTTTAGTAAGTTGTTTGCTTTTAGTAATCATTTCTTTCTAAGTAGATATTTTTCGGTGTTTTATTTTGTTATATTTATTGGCTATTTCTAATAGAAACAGCTTGTTACTCAGAAAGAGACATCAACAAGGGAAGACACCTTTCCCACACAAAAAATGTATTCCAGCTGCATTTTAATTCGAAGTTGAATAAAGACAAAGGTTAAAAGAAAAGCTACAAAGATTGTCCTAGGTGAGTCATCCGAGTGTCAACTAGCGTGGGCAGGGGCCCCTGTTAAACTACAGATATTTGATAGGAATTGTTACTTTAACTGTGAGAAAATGGATTCCTAATGACACTTTTGCTTTTCACTCTGGGTTAGCTTCTCATCAGTCCACAAATGCCCATACCTGGTTCTGTCAACGTTTCTGGTTTTCAGACTATGTGCTTTATGAGGCAAAACATAGCAACACAAACATTTTAATTGCCTTCATGTTTTACAACCTCAACTGCTGTATTTTATATAAAGGCCACAAAATGAATATTGTTATTGATGAAAATTGGATTACCTTGAGGACTCTCACTTAACTGAAATCACAAATGGAGCAGACGGAAAAATCAAAAGTATATGCTGAGAAAGGTGAGTAAAGAGTGAACTCCTCAGAGCAGTAATAATTTTCATTTCTAGAGGCCAGAAATAAAAAAAAGAGAAAGGGATTTTTTTTCTTCATTTGGGAACTTTGATTTCCAGTATTAATTTAACACAATACAAGTAATATAAGTTTAAAAAATAAATAGTGTTAGTTACTTAGGAAAAAGTAGTTTGTATGAGGGACTCAAAATGGTTTTTAAATACCACTATATGCAAGAATCTGCTTTCGTTTGTTTTGTTTCTTTTGGTTTCTATTTATCATGGGTCTGCAGGTTCTATTTTTAAAATAAAATAAAACTTGTTCAATGTTCCTCAAGTGCTTCTATGTTGATCAGCAAGCTCTACTTGTGATAATTACACTGTATGTACGTCAGTCAGGAAAGTAAGGAGTTTCTGCTTTGCAAACTAGAGGACCACTTATTAAACCAATTCTAATCTTCCTAACAGCCATACATTCACCTAAAACATTAATACAAAAAAAGCTCTCTTAAAACACTAGAAAATAGCAGATAATATTCCAGCAACTCCAAACCAATTGTCAAGGATTAGCTCTATATTATATGGGCTGATTTTTGACAGACAAACTTGAAAGTTATTTATTTTTGGGTAATGCTTGCAACCAGCCATACTTTGCTTGTCTGTAACTAGTCACTAGATTAGTCTTTCCCTTCTAATGGCTTTGATCCCTATTGTAGGAAGGGACAAGTTATCCAGAGACTGAGTTATTCTTTTATCAGAATAAATTCTTCACATGTGTTTGCAATTCATGACTAAATATACAAATGAGCATATTTAATTATATTTTGCTAATTACTAACAATAACTTTTTTCTTGTTTCTGATTTTTCTCTGGGATTATGCCAGTTACTTGATACATGTTCATTAATTTTATACTAAAAAAATTAATGAGGGTGCTATTCTAAGATTTTAGTCTAATGTCCAGCTAATCATAATGATACAAGCTCTCTTGCTGAGTGAATAATAATCATAATATAATTTGTAAAAATAATCATAATATAATTTGTGAGTGAATGAAATATTCCTTAGAAAATATTAATAGACACCTTTTTACAGCATATGTCCTATAACTAAATAAAAAGCTTAGCTAATTGGTTATTTATGTTGTATTAATGTTTGAAAAATAAGTGGAGATTGAAACTTCTTATGAGTAATAACACTTTTTGAATATAGGTATTCAAGTAGTATTATTTTGAATATAGGTCCTATATTCAATAGTAGTATTGAATATAGGTATTCAAAAAGTATTATTTTTGGCAAAGGATATAAAAGTTAATTCACCTAGTTATGAACATATATAAAGCCATGAAGTACTAATTTTTTTATTATACTTTAAGCTCTGGGGTACACATACAGAATGTGCAAGTTTGTTACACAGGTATACACATGCCATGGTGGTTTGCTGCACCCATCAACCCATCATCTACATTAGGTGTTTCTCCTAATGGTATCCCTCTCCCTAAACCCCACCCTCAACTGTCCCCAGTGTGTGATGTTCCCCTCCCTGTGTCCATGAGTTCTCACTGAATAACTAATTTTTAAGATTCTTTTAAAGTATTTTAAAATTCCTGAATATTTTACTATTTACGACATCACACTAAATTAGCAGAATAATAAAAATATCTAATATCCTTAAGTACTTATCATGATCTAAATAATGTACTATGCTCTCTCCAGATATTTTCATATTTAATACTACAAACTCATAAGCCAGATACCATTGCTGCCATTTGACAGAAAAGGTATAAGACTAAGAAACCTGGCTAAAATTGTGCAGGTTATAAGAGGAAAGGAATGGGTCAGAAGCGTGATCTTCCATTGTGAAGCCCATCTCATGCTTTTAACTGTATTGCACCTTTCCCTCAACAGAGGGATTCTTTGCCTCTTCTTCTATGAATGAATGGAAAGAAATTTAATCAAAAGAAAATTTGAACATATTATATATTGCCAAAAAATATAGTGTTACCTTCCCTGGTTCTTACCAATGAATATCAATAAATATTATTGATTGATTCCTGATAGACTTGAAAGGATGAATTCATTCCCTGAAGAGGTTGAAAATAGTTTGCTTAACTAATACTAGAACTGAATACTAAACATTCTGACTAAATGAGGAACAAGAACTAAAATAATTGTACATTAAAGAACACAAGAATGAAAGTTACATTTACCATACATTATACCATCATAGGACAATCATTAGTTAAGAACAGATTACTTTTAGCCACATTTATGACTATCAGAGGAATCAACCTGATTTTGTTCATGACTTCTAGAGGACTTTCAGAGAGAAAGAGCATTTTAAAAATAAGAGTTAATATTTAAAGTTTATGAGTTGTTGTAACCAACCCATTGAAGGTAGATTGATTTTTAAAGCTGGAAGTCAAATATTAATATCATGCTACTAACACATTTAAATTAATAATAGGCATTCTATGAATAGCATTAGCATCTTCTCTATAAACTCATGTAGCCAACACTTACACTTCTTCATTCCTGAATAAATCATGCAACAAAAGATGAATATTTAGTTTCTATGAATTAGACATAAAAAGAATCGCCTGTTTAAATTTATGTAAGTTGTGTTTTTTTTTCTACAGATAGCATTATGGTTTTGTGACTAATTACTTTTTTTGTTTAATTATTTTATGGGCAAAACCTTAAGGATTCTTAGAAAAGATAAAGCTTTGCCTTTCAAAGAAACCGCTGCCATCTCCCACTGACCGAAAGAAGTTTGACCATGACTTTGCCATCTCCACTTCCTTTCATGGGGTACACAATATTGTTCAGAACCGGAGCAAAATTCGCAAGGTGCTCTGGTTGGTGGTGGTCCTGGGCTCAGTCTCACTTGTGATATGGCAGATCTACAGTCGCTTGGTCAACTACCTCACATGGCCAACCACAACATCTATTGAGGTTCAGTATGTGGAAAAGATGGAGTTCCCAGCTGTAACATTTTGTAATTTGAACAGGTAAAAAGTACTTTTTAAAAAATAATTTGTTTGTATAAATTTACTAGCATAATCTTTCTTGGATGACTGATAAAAATTTTGCTCATGTGGAAATTAACATAGTAAAACCACTGGAGTTCTTAAATTGCACTTAAGAGTACAAATTTAAGGGAACAAAGATGTTTATTAATTTCTTCTTTCACTTATTTTCTGTCTTTTCTTTCTCCCTTCCACAATTGTATTCTAGGTAACATTCCAAATCCTGTCATTAGATAGATGTAAAAGAGGTGGGGTTTCACTACATTGCCCAGACTGTTCTCAAACTCCTGGGCTCAATCAACCCACTCTCCTTGGCCTCCCATAGTGCTGAAATTATAGATATGAGCCCACTGCGCCTGGACCAATGTAAACGTCTTGATCCCTACACATTAGAAGTTCATTAATTAGCAGAAAAGAGAAACATCAACAATCACAGTGCAATATGGTAATTACATAATAAAATAAAACAATGTGCAAGGGCTCTGAAATCCCACAGATCAGATTAATAGTCTACATCTTGGATGTTATGGAAATCTGGGTATTAAAAGATGACTAGAGCTTTCTATGTGGCTTGAAGAAGAACTGGAAGAGAGAACTCCTGTACAAACACATGAAGATACAAAATTTTCTAGCGTACGTGATGAGCTATTTAACGTAGCAGAGGCAAGGCTAACTCCATGGGTCTGTGATCAGTGCAGTTGCACAGAGCCCTGAGCTCAGAAGAGAGTTACATTTGATTCAATGATCTACTGCCACTGTCTTGAGTCCTTGACTGCAACTCATTCCAGAAAACTGTAGTCCATTGACTGTACAACAAGTCTTCTTAGATGAGAGCAACTGTTCACCACTAGGCTTCAGGCAAAGCTTTGTTATTGCCTGAGGTGAAGCCTAAAAGATCACACATAGGATTTTTGCTGGGAAGGGAAGCCTTCTTAAGACACATTACTTAATTAGGCAAGTCACTCAGCCTTCTTAGTGTTGATTTTTATATTTAGAAAATGAGATAATATCATCTACTGTATACATTTGTTGTTACATCAGATAAGGTGATAAGTACTCTATTGTGTTTCATTCCTATGGGGACTTCTAGAACTGGTGCTCAATATATTGTAGATGTTACATACAGCCCATTGGTATGATTGTCAGTATTTCAAGAACTCAAGACATGTATTAAGGTCCTAAAAAGTCAAAACAAATCAATCTTTTCCCCCAAAAAAATCATTTTCAATACTATTGCCTCACTATTTTAAGTAGCATGTGTTCTAACAAAAACAACGATAGGTTGCAGTTATCCTTGATTGAAAGAGAATGTAGACATTACTTCCAGAATGGCAAAGTGAGGAAGTCCATACACTCTATCTCCACCAAAACTAATCATAACTGGTGAAAAAGTATTTATTTTAAGAAGCAAACTTTTCTTTAAAAATGCAAACATTTAAATAGTATATCTTCAAATTCAAGTCTTCTGGAACCTCAGAGTGATCCAAAACCAACCTTGTGAAAAAATATTTATTTTAAAACGTAAACTTTTCTTTTAAAAAGCAAAAGTTTATAGAGGATCTCCTCAAATTCAAGTTTACTGGAATCTCAGAGTGATCATATTTAAAAATTGGGTCATTAAGAATATAATTAGATAAGTTGAGGTTATACTGCATTAGGATGAGCACTAAATCCAAAGACTAAAGTTCTTATAAGGAGAGGTGAGAACACACAGAGATACAGCAGAAAAAGGCCATGTGAAATAGAAGTAGAGATTGATATAATCCTGCCACAAGCCAAGGTATATTTAGGACAAAATGTTGTCCTAAATATATTTAAGACACAGAGAAAACAAAAAGTAAAATGGTAGATGCAAATCTAACTATATTAATAATTAAATTGGAATAGATTAGACAATCCAATCAAAAGGCAGAGGTTATCAGAATAGATTATTTTAGAAAGATCCAACTATATGCTGTGTATAGAAGACACAATTTAGATTTGAAGATGCAAATAGGTAAAAAGTAAAAGAATGGAAAAAGGTGTGTCAACCATCAGAAAGCTGGAGTAGATATCCTAATCTCAGACAAGATAGACTTTAAAGCAATCTATGTTACTTGACATTTAAAAAAATGGTCATTTTATGTTGCATAAGTGATCAGTCTATTAGGAAGATATGTTAACCTACGTAGTTAGATTTTTCAATACCCCACTTTCAGTAATCAATAGAATAAATTGAGAGAGAATAAACAAGGAAATAGAAGACACAAAAGACTTAAATATCCTTGTAAACCTACTAGACTTTGCAAATATCTTTTGAACGCTCTACTGGACAACAGCAAAATATGCATTCTTCTCATGTGCACATTTTCAAGACCACATACAAAATAAAATAGGTTAAAATATTTTAAATTATTCATTTATCAATCACAATAGAATGAAATTAGAGGTCAATAATGAAAATAAAATTGGGATATTCACAAATGTGTATATATTAATCGATGCACACCTAAATAACAAGTCAAAGAAGAAATCACAAAGAAAATTAGAAAATACTTTCAGATGAATGAAAATGAAGACACAACACACTAAACTTATAGGATGCAGTTAAACCAGTGCTTACAGGGAAAGTAGTAACTGTAAACAGCTAAATTAAAAACAAAAAGATGTTCAAAAATCTCTAATAGCCTATGATCTAAGTACTTCTATAACTTTTGGTATGAAAACCTAATCCAGTTTGCGTAACTCAAATCTCAAATCAATGATTACAACTGTTGTGTTAGATGACATTTTTAAAAAATGATAGTATATCCTAAATCAGATATAACAAGTACCTGGACCAACAACAAAAAAAAAAGATTTAATATTTTAGAGGCTATAATGGTAGAACAGGAAAATTCTTAATTATAAGAAAATTATTCGGCCGGGCACGATGGCTCAAGCCTGTAATCCCAGCACTTTGGGAGGTCGAGGCAGGTGGATCACGAGGTCAAAAGATCGAGACCATCTTGGTCAACCTGGTGAAACCCCGTCTCTACTAAAAATACAAAAAATTAGCTGGGCATGGTGGCGCGTACCTGTAATCCAAGCTACTCAGGAGGCTGAGACAGGAGAATTACCTGAACCCAGGAGGCGGAGGTTGCGGTAAGCCGAGATCACGCCATTGCACTCCAGCCTGGGTAACAAGAGCAAAACTCCGTCTCAAAAAAAAAAAAAAGAAAAGAAAATTATTCTTCCTTGGGAACAAAGAACTAAGACAATATCAGTGTATAGGCATTAGAGATATCTCCAACTCCCAAAGTCAAATTTAATAGATAGATAATTTGGATTCCCAATGTAAACGTAATACTCAGCATTACTCAGCAAATTAATGACACATTAGGAAAATAACTCAAGATATTTTCTAGTTCTTAGCCAATGATCTTCAAACATTTTAGTTAACATGCTATCTAAACAAAATTTGAAAAGCTGTATATTTTATATATACAACTTTTATATGCAACTTGCATATGTCTACATTGTTAGCCATAATCCTAAGTATATTTATTATATTTAGGAGATGAAAAATGTTACATTTTATATCAAATTATATTATCACAAACATATTACATATTATCATATTTATGAGATGAAACAGGATAAGGATTTACTGTAATAGGAATAAATATTTCATATATTTACATAAAATTTTAACTACTTTATTGACTAAATTACACCTGTAGAAATCATTTAAAATTTTCATCTGTGGACTGTATTTAAATAACCAAAAATCTGGAAGTCCTAACAAATAGTTCAGTTACATTTAAAATAACAAGTTTTATTATTCTACTTAAGACTTTGTCAATTCACTCTTAAGCAAGGGCCAAATACTTTCTATCTAACACCAAACTTTACCCTAGCTATGAATATGTGTATGGCAGGGCAAGATGAGATTTTAGGAGCTTTGATTAATTCTTAAAGGAGTCTTAAGCAATATATAATTTGTATGCCTATGTTAGGAGCCCTGAGGTTGTTATATACCAGTATACATTCTATGCTAAGATTTGTGATGGGTAACAGGTTAACACTTTTTTATATATGGGAGAAGAACCACTGTGGAAAGAGGATGGGAAAATGTATTTCTGTAAAATTCTCTGTGCAGGAGAACACTCAGACATATGCACATTCTAGTTTGAAGACCATTGTTTTAAGTTGCATTGTCTCCAATTCACTTGAAAAAAAAATAAAGCTTAGCACTGTAATTTACTTAGAGTTTAATAAGTTAGAAACTGGAAAGAGGTCTGCTGATAGATCCCAATTTCTATACTCTTCTTGTTAAACCACTTTGTGAGTAGAAAACGGACACCTAAGATGAGGAAACTTTGCCAAGTGACTTTGGGTTATCAGAATGGGTTCACTTTTCACAATCAGTACAGGAGCCTATACCCAGTGTATGTCAGAGATCGTTTTTAATAACCCCTCCTCTATACGACAAAATTAGTTTTGGAAATAGTCATGAAATCACACAAATAATAAAAATGGCCTATGTATATTCATGTCAATACAAATGTTAAAAAATAAAATAATATAAAAAATAAGAAAAAGTAATGCATTAATACTTTCTGGGCACTAATGTATTTTTTTAAAAAACCAGAAAAAGCTTTTTAAATCTGTTCCAGTCATGAAAGTAAAATAAAATCTCAGGACCCCCACTCACTACGCCAAAGGGAAAAGTTAAGCATGGGGACTGAGTCTCACACGACTGCTTCCCATTTTGTTCTGGAATAGATAACCACAAAGATAGAAGGTACATACCATCTCAGAGGGCCCCTCTTACAATTTTCTCATAGGAAATCTCTTGTGAGCCCCAACATCCTTACCTTAAAATGGAGTTCTATTGAATTTCACCCTGAGAAAACAAATCAACAGCTTATCTTCACAGGTACAGGACAAAGGCAGAACTAGAAGTCATCCCTCCACTCGCCTAAGGGAAATGCATGTTTGACTTCTTCCTCTACTCTATG